AGAGAGAGAGAGAGAGAGAGAGAGAGAGAGAGAGCCTGAATGGCACTTCGCCCGATAAAGAAAACCAACGAAATAGGAGGAGGAGGAGGAGAAAGGAGGAGAGATGAAGACAAAGGGAGGAGGAGGAGGAGGAGAAGGTCCTGCCGGTTTCGTGATACGTCGACGGAAAAAAAAAACCAAAGGATGACGAAGGAGGAGGCGGAGGGGAGAGAGAGAGAGAGAGAGAGAGAGAGAGAGAGAGAGAGAGAGATAGATGGATAGATAGAGAGAGCCTGACACGTAGGGAGGAGGAGGAGAAAGGAGGAGGAGAGAAGAAGACGAAGGGAGGAGGATAAGGAGGAGGAGGAGGAGGAGGACCTGCGGGTTTCGTGATACGTCGACGAAAAAAAAAAGGGATGACGAAGGAGGAGGAGGAGGAGAGAGACAGAGAGAGAGGGAGAGAGAAAGAGAGAGAGTGAGAGAGAGAGAGAGAGAGAGCCTGACACGTGGCACTTCGCGCAATGGTACCGTATCGAGGACGACGGGGCAGCTTTCCAACGGCGAGCGCTGATGAGCTGGGAAACGGGCAGCGACGACGGGCAGCGGCGGCGGGCAGTGACGATGGGCATCGACGAAGGGCAGCGGCGGCGGGTAGTGACGACGGGCATCGACGACGGGCACCTCAGCGAAGGTGGGCAGCGACGGGAGCCCTCTTCGGCAGGCCGCGACGTGTGCACTTTGGCGGGTAGCTCGAACTGGACGTTCGAAATCGACCTGTAGTCGGCGGTAAAATTTGTGCGGGGGGGCGGGGAGGCCTCCGAGCGCGAAAAAAAGTCGGCAAAGGCCTCCCCGGCCCCTCGTGCGAAAATGAGCTGGGCCCGCCCGGCGTCAAACCGGGGGACCCAACCGGCCGGGCCGCCCTGGGCCGTCGGGCGGCCCGGAGTTTAACACAGCTTTAAAATAGTTTTTCAATTACTAGGATAGTGTTACCTCGTTTTTAGTTTTTGATTTTTACTCTAGTTTGGTTGGGAGTTCGGGGATGACTCCCAGGCAAAAGTTGTTTGTATCATGATTCTGCATAACTGCTTAACTCCTCCTGTTTCCCTCCCTACCACATCTATTGCTGCTCCATCCGTTCCTGCACCGGCTGATCCTTCTCACACAGCACCCTTTTTACCAACACCCGTTGGCTCTTACGTTGCACCCCTTTTATTGACACCCCCTCACTGTGTACTTCTCTTGCGAACACCTTCGGTTAGATCCTTTGCTGTTGATCTTCGTCCGTGCCTGAACTTATAATCCGTACCTCACTACATGGCCTTCTCACTGAAGCTGCTTCGGGTAACTGGTGTCGTGTCAAGGCTGATATTGAGCAAGCAACACCGGCGTGGCGGGTACGACTTTTGCAATGGCTTTACAATAATCTCTCCAATGCGGACATGACAGCAGACATTCGAGAACTAGAATGCGTCATCCGAAAATCCCAGCACACTCGCCAACGTTACGCAGTACAACCTCGTGACCCATTTGCTGACCACGTCAAGGTCGTACATGCACACGAGGTAGTTCCTGCTACGAACTTGCACCATGTGTTACAATTGCCGGATGTAGTTGCATTGCACCCCGACCCTCGAACAGCCACACATGGTTGTGTATGTGAGAAACTGATGCCACCCACGCGTGTCCAGTTTTGTAACTTCACTGATGTGGCCTCGAGTGTTACTTCTGGCATGACCTTACCCGACTCCAGAGCCTTTCCACATTGTTCTGATCTTGTGGATGGCCATATTGTGTCTGTTGACTACAATATCATCTCCGATGATAGTCTTCGCAAGCTTTTTCAAGAAGGCGTGAAGTATCGGCTGAATGGGAAACTGCCGATGTGCTCCAGGCACTGACAATTGGACTAGTTGAGTACATTGCCAATTACAAAAAGTTGTTGGCCGGGCATTCTCGATCTGCTTCTTTGTCGTCTCTTTCTCAGAAGCTGAACAACTGGCGTTCTGCAATCCTTGCGCATTGTCAATCCAATGCATCTTCGCTCTCCAATCATGTGAGCCAGCCATGTTCACTTGTTCTACACATGCCTCCTTGCGCCATCTTCAACAACACTTTGCCATTGTCCCTGTGGACAAAACATCGCACAATTTGGCAATTTGCTGCAAGACTTAGTATGTGTTTCATCTCTCTACCCGGTTTGGACAGTCCCACTTATTCTCGTCCTAAAGAGTCCGTTGGTGATGTCCTTGATCACCATACAGTGTGGAATCACCATTGGGGTGACACCCACACTGATAACCTACCTTACCTTTTACTATGTACTCAAAGCTCACAAGTCTCCTCCAGCTTTTTGCAGCATTCTTGGAGTCACCGCACAAAATAACAATGCATTCTTGGAGTCACCGCACAAAATAACAATGTTGTTCCCTCACATGCTCACCCTCGTCGAACAATGCGCAGCATTCATGAACGGCCTCGTCACAAACCCTTGGCTAGCACAAGAATACTTCGTCGTATCTCAGTGCTGCTTTGCAAGGAGTGATCTCTACTCTTCGCGAGAAAGACACTGAGCTCTATCAACAGGTTGGTGTTCCACGGTGCTGGATTTAAGAGTGCCGATGAAGTGGCCATTGACCTGAAAAACAATGAGTCGTCTCTTCGTGGCCTTTCTCCTCGCACTGTTGATTTTACCACAATGTACACCAGCCTTTCTCATGACTGCATTCTGAATAATGTGGCAAAAGCTGTTGATGAAGCTCATGCTTCTGCCCTTCCGCATGCTCGCACACATTCACACTGTGTTGCTGTCGACATGATTATCCGAGGACCTCGTTGTGGCCAATGGACGACTGATTTAGGCCCGGATACCCTTTCCGTTTCTCAGATTCTCCAACATCTTCGCTTTGTTGTACAAAACACTTTTCTATATATTAGAGACGACACGCTTCAGAAACAAATTATCGGTATTCCAATGAGAACAAATGCTGGCCTAGAAATTTCTAATCTGACGCTGTATTGAAGCATACTTTGTTGATGACATTCGTCAACATGATCTTCGAGCTGCCCAACAATATGCCTTCACCTATCCCCTCATTGATGATGTTCTTTCATTGGGGCAATTACCTCCTACACGAGAGCACTGTGGGCTTGAGTGGAAGGAGACTTCAGCGACAGATGTCTCGTGTACCCTTTTAGGTATGCATCTACGGGTCTATTCCGATGGCTTCGCATG